ATTCTTTCCTGCTTTGTCAAAGATGAGTTGCCCATATGTTTGTGAGTCCATTTTTGGATTCTCTATTCAGTTCCATTAATGAGTGTCTGTTTTTGTGCCAGTACCATACTATCTTGATGATTACAGCTTTGTAATACATCTTGAAGTCCAGGATTGTGATGACTCCTGCTTTGGTTTTTTTTTCTCAAGATTGCTTTGGCTATTCGGGGTCTTTTCTGGTTCCATACACATTTTAGGATTGTTTGTTCTAGCTCTGTGAAGAATGCTGGTGTTATTTTGATAGGGATTGCATTGAATATGTAGATTGTTTTGGGTAGTTTTGTCATGTCCATATTTTTGTACTAATTTGGTTACTTTTCCTTTCTGATCAAGTGTGTGTGATAAACAACCCCCGCTGTCACTACCTTACATCATCATCCTTACCCACGGGGGAATGCAGTGAGAACTTTCCAACAGATCTTCCCCCTCTCCTCCCCTTTCCATAGCCTAACTCCCATGCAGCACCCAGAGTAATCTTTTTGCAACATGAATCAGATGACATCAATACTTTACTTAAAACCCTGCCATAACTACCCATTTCACAGCGGGGATTTGCTTGTCTGTATTCTTGATGCTCTAAATTTGGGGCCTTGCTCATGGCAGGCAGGCGGCCTCCTCCCAGGATAACCAGTCCTTAGAAGTAGGAAACTACTGGTGTGGACTTGCCTTTCATATGCAAATTAGACAATACAAAGACACTAAGGGGAACCACCTCCTCCTTCTGGCTCTTTCACTTCAGGAAACAGTATTCTGTGCGGATCATCCCAGATCCTGGGACCAGACAAATCAGGACAGCCCTCCTGCTCTAAAGCCTGCTAATAGTATTCAAACTAGCCAATCCTAAGCTGTCTCCCCTGCCCTGCCTTGCCTTTCCTTTGTGCAAAATACAAAAGCTCGGAACCACATTTTGTCCTCCACTTCTGCCTCCTGACCCATCCTGGTCTCCAGGAGACCCTGAATCATGTGCCCTGCATCCTGAGCCTATGGATCTGTAGAAATAAACTTCCTTCATGATAATCATTTTCAGGTCTGTGTATGCTACTGCACGAGATCAACCAGTCCCTGGGTACATTCTAGAGCACGCAGGAAGTGTATTCCAACCTCCTGTGTAGTCCAAGGCACCCCAGCGTCTCCATTTCTCTCTCTGGCTCCTCTCCTCTCACTCGAACCCCTGCAGGTGCAGCTCTGGCCACATTCTTGCCCCTCTTCAGGCTCTCAGGGCTCTCCCCCTTCAATTTCCTTGTCGTAGGTGTTCTCTGTGTGACACCCTGTTTCTTCAGATAAGGACTCCTTCCCTCCTCAGAGTCTGTGCTTAGATAATAAATGTCTCATTAGACTTGTCCCAACCATGTTACTTAGTGCTGCAAAACTGCTTTCATTCTACTCTCCCACGATTTCTCATCTGCTCTACACTTTCCTGTTTCCACAGCACTCCCCCCGTCCAACCTATATTGTTTAGGTTTTTCATTGTTCTTGTTTTTAAACTATTAGTTGTTATGATGAAAGATCCTCTAGAACAGGAATGCATTATTTTTTGGTATATATGTGTCCCCATTGTGTAGGGCAGTGCCTGTCCAAAAAATGGGCACTCAATAAATATTGATCAAATATATGTCTATATATATATTTTTTTTTCAAATCGTTATGGGGGACAAGAGAGAAGAGTGATGTTGGGGTGGAGGACTAATTTAAATGTGAGAGATATGGAGAAACCTCTGTGAGGAGGTAATGGTTGACATGAACTGAGTCTCATCACCCTGGACCATCTGTCTACAATCCAGGTGTGAGTGACTCAACACTATATCCTTCACAGCATTTTGCAAAGTGCCTTCTCTCAGCTTCTCTTGGAAGTATCTGTAGAGCAAATGTTGAGTGGATTTTACCATTAGGCTACTAAATGCTCCTGGTCCCTTGGCACCATTGGTAGGACTATTGGTTGTTGATCTACTTGTTCCCTTTCTATGCTCCCAGGAACTAGCCTGTGACTCACAGGGAACTGTAGTCCCTGGGGAAGAGTCATTGTTTGAGAGTAAGATATGTTTGTGCTCCTGGGGCACCTAGCTGGCTCAGTCAGTTAAGCATCCAACTTCAGCTCAGGTCATGATCTCGCAGTTTGTGGGTTCAAGCCCCACATTGGGCTCTGCCGACAGCTCAGAGACTGGAGCCTGCTTTGGATTCTGTGTCTCCCTCTCTCTCTGTCCCTCTCTCAAAAATAAATAAACATTGGGGGGGAAAAAGATATGTTTGTGCTCCTGGTTTCAAGAGAACAGGGGAGATTCTACAAGGAATGGAAGGAAGAGCTGACTGGAGTGGACACCTGTTAGAGGACTATTCTGCCTAAAATGACAGGGGATGAACACGAAGCAGATTACAGAATTCCAGGGTCATGGCACATAACACATTCCTGGACAGGAAAAATCTGGGAGTTGGTGAGTTTTCCCACCGACAGAGAGCTACAGAGACCATTCACGGGGTTCAAGGACAGAGTTCCAGAACTGCTTTCAGCAAAGTTCTGGGGGAAATTGCTCTACAGCCTGAACCAAAAGTATTCAAGCTTCTTGGGTTCCTATGTTGTTGGATATTTGTTCTTCCCCAGGCTGGCTACTCCCAAATTTCTCTTCCCAGGTTCTCTGCTTCCCCAGAGCAAAATGACTGAGTCAGCACTCTTGAACTGGGAGTGGGGACAATGTCCCACTTCTGTCTGACACCCCCATTTGAGGTGGGGTGAGTGGGAAGAGGCCTCAACTCTTTTCAGCTGCCGTCTCGGAGTGTGGAAATCCTTCCATTCAGCTGGCACAAAAATGAGAGTGGACCAGTATTCTCAGAAGCGTGGTGCCCAAGGCGGAACCTCCAGCCTAGAAGTGGCGACCTGCTAAAAGAGACCTCTGGGGACCATACTGGCCAGGAACTTCACCTTAACAACAAGTAGCTGGGGGCAGGATGAGAGATGCTGACCTCCTGGCCCTCCTGGAAGATAACTCTCCGAGTGGGAGTTGGGAGTGAGGGATCCCTGCACTCTCATCTGCACCACTGTAGTGGATTTTCTATCTCCCTGAACTGGGAAGGTTGAAGGAGATTAAATGTCTCAGTTCAAAAACCGCAGACTCGCACTGTTTTTACAGAATTACAGATCATCTTGAATAAATGTTCTTCATTCGTTGTATGACCTTGTTGTTGTACATCCATTTCCAGAGATATTAAATCTTGTATGTTTTGGTTTTTGTTCGCTTAAATTTTTTCCACCAGTTTCACTAGGGAATGAGTCCACATAACTACTCCTGTTGTCATGCTAGAAGTCCCTCCTTGCTCTTTTTTATTTTTAAGGTTTTATTTTTAAATAATTTTAGATTTACTGTAAAGTGGCAAGTATGTATTTCCCATTATATATAACTTCCACCCCAGCTTCACCTCATGTATTATGCAGATACATGGTACATTTGTCAAAGCTAAGAAATTGACATTGATATAACATTGTTTACAAATTATTTGGATTTTACCATTTTTTTTTTCCTCCACTAATGTCCTTGTGTTGCAAGATCCCATTCCAGGACACCAGGTTGCACTTAATCAAGTTACTTTGTTACACTTGTTTTTCACGATCCCAACACTTTTGATGAGTTTTCGTTGGATATTTTATACAATGTTCCTCAATTTGCACTTATCTGATTTTTTTATGAGTAAAGTGGTGAGTCTGGGGGAAGGACATCACAGTAGTGAACAGTTTTATTGCATCATACTGTGTGGTACATGGTGTCAGCAGGACATCACTAATGCTGCTAACCTTGCTCACTCGGTAAGGGTGGTATCTACCCATTTCCTCTGCTGTCAACTTACCCTTTTCTTCTTTTCATCCTTAGTCACTAAGTCCAGCCAATTCAAGGGAATCAAACTCCACCATCTGAAATAAGGCGATCTATATGTTACTTGGAATTCTGTAGGAAGGTTTCTCTTATCTCCCTGTACCCATTTATGTAAGAGCACTACTGATTCTTGTTTCTTTAAAAAACAAATAAACATAAGTACTTACAAGAAATATGTGTGTTGGGGTGCCAGGGTAGCTCAGTCGGTTAAGTTTCTGGCTGGATTTCGGCTCAGGTCACGATCTCTTGGTTCATGAGATCAAGCCCCGCACTGGGCTAACAGCACAGAGGGTGCTTGGGATTCTCTCTCTCTTTCTGCCCCTCCCTTGCTTGCTCTGTCTCTCTCTCTCTCTCTCTCAAAAGTAAACAAGCATTTAAAAAGAAAGAAATCTGTGTGTTGTGATTCCCTTTTTTACACATGGGGGAAAAATAATGTGGAGGTCTACTCCTTGGTGATGTGTTTAGTAATTGTGACAGAACAGCAGGGCCAAATACACACCCTGTTTCCATTTTTATAACTGTGTGTATATTCATTGGAAGCTGAGTTTTATTTTCTCACCTTGTCACGAGAAAACACACACACACACACACACACAAATAAGTAACCAACGATGACTTTTAAGTTTTTTGTAATATATTCTCGAAGGATTGTTAGCATTCCTAACATGACTGTTGGTTTCTTGTCTGCACCTATTTAATGCCAGGTTGGTTCTGGGTTCGCCCCTGCCCATTCCTTTCTCTATTCTCAGGCTTTTCTTGAGACTGGAGATAACCCTGTTCGCTAACAACTCCCGAATTTGCAGATCCATGCACGACCCCTGGGCCAGCGATGAGACACAGGTGAAAGTGCCGGTGCTCGACCCCTGCGTCCACCTCCGGCCTCGCTCACCAGCGGGCGTCAAGACCCCACAGCACGTGCAGCTGGTGCTGGACAGAGCCCGCGAGGGGCCAGGCGATGCGCATGCGCCGCGTGGGAGGGAGGGCTTCTGGCGTCCGCGTCCTGGCGCTCGCTACTCTTAAGGCTGGTGTGCCCGGCGCCCTCCAGGAGGATCGCGAGGAGGTGAGGAGCACGGGGAAGTCCCGAGCTGAGCCGAAGACCTCGGTCCCCGACGTGTCACGTGCCCCGACCCCGGGCGGACGTCCCGGCCCCCGGAGCCTCGATTTCCCCGGGCACGTGAGGGACCGTTTCGCGCCCGTCCCTCGGCCCCACTGTGAAGATGCAGGTCTGAGGCGGTACTCGGCCTCGCGCACTCTTCCACTGGAGGAGACAGGCTCGGGAAGCTCCCCACCGCCGCTGCTTTCAGGGACAAAACCACAATTCCCAGAAGGCTGTACACCGCGTGTCCGCGCGCGCGCTGGGCCAATGACAGCCCAGGACAGGGGCGTTTCCTGCGGCCCGCCCCGGCGGGGGCGGGACTTCCTGCTCCGTGGAGGCTAACGTCATCCGCCGGTGCCGGGTGGGTCGTACCGGTCTGTGCGGCTTCGAGCAGTGGTGTGCAGGACACCTTTATGAGGCGCGAGCGGAGAAGGCGGTGTGGAGCGTGGGTCTTACCCCCGCGTCCTTGTACGAGCCTGATACCCGCCCCTCATTCTCTATAACGGGGTGTCACGTGAGCGCCTGCTGTCCCTGCAGCCCTGGGCCTCGAGCGCGCTTCACAGCGGGGAAGCTGAGGCTGGGAGTGAGACCGTCAGCCGAGGTCGCCCCGCTCTGGGGCCCCTCGGCCGCCACCCCCTCCCCGGGCCCCGCTCTGTGCACAGGGCCCCACGATGGCGGCGGCGTGGATGGCCCCTGCGCGGGTGAGTGGACGACGCTGTGGGTATTGCAGCCTGTCTGCTGCGGAGAGGGCTCCTGGGCAGCCGGAGGCTAGGAAGCCGTTCGCTTGCCTTTTCTCCCTGTCGTTTGTGTACAGCGCGCGTCGCTAGCTTGCCGTTTTATTGTCCGTAGTCCTGCGGCAGTGCCGGAGTTCCGACAAGTGTTTGGTCAGTGCCTGGAAGGTGAAAGTGATGCTTCCTTCCGCGGGCGTCCGTCACTCACAGATCCAGCCCGCCCGGGGACCTGCAGGTGCCCACCCGGCCCTCCCGCCGACCTCCTCGACCTTGCCTTCTTCCCCGGGGGCGCGGTTCTCCGGACACACCAGCCTGACCATGCTGAGTTCATCCCCCAGCCCTGCCCTGTGCCCGCGATTCTGCCCCTTTGACTCTGGAGGGAGGGAGGGGGGGGGTGTTCCTCTCACATCCTTCTGGCGTCTGCTCAGATGTCACGCATTTGGACAGAACTGTCCCAGCAGTTCAGGCCGAAGTGGCCCCTTCCCTGCTTGCCCATTATCTGGCATTTTTGTGTAGGAAACCTGGCAAAATTAAATAAGGGTTCCTGGTTGAATATGTCTGGGATGTTGTGGGAGCAAAGAGAAAACAGTGGCAGAGGAACCATAATCGCTGGCCTTGGTTAATTTTTGCTGTGGGTTGAAGGGCACACCTAACATTTCACCTCTTTTAATCCTCACCTCCTCTGAGTTAAGTTCTGTTATTATTGCTGTTTTGCATGAAAGCAACTTGAGGCTTAGAGAGTTCAGTTATTTGCCCAAATTCACTGCAGCTCTTTTTTCTTTTTAATGTTTTACTTATGTTTGAGAGACAGAGAGAGAGTGCGAGCCAGGGAGGGGCAGAGAGGGGGACAGACGATTCGAAGTGGGGTCCGCGCTGACAGCAGCAAGCCAGATGTGGGGCGCCAACTCACAAACCTTGAGATCATGACCTGAGTTGAAGTCAGGCACTCAACCGGCAGACACCCAGGCGCCCCTCACTGCTGCTCTTAAGTAGCAGAAACAATCAGTGCGTCAGCCACCACAGCCTGTATTTGTACCCCCTTCTGTACAAAACGCATATAGGGATACCTGGCAGTGACACGGAAACATTGCAAGCCAAGCAGGCTTCCTTGGAGTAGGCAGTTTGGGCGGAAGGTGGGAATATGGCATTTCAGCAGGTGGAAGCGTGTGGACAAAAAAAGGTATATTTGTTTCAGGAGTCCCCAGAAGACCTGTGTGATTTCCATGGCCCCCCGTCCCCATCTGTCGAGACCTACCCTGGGAGGGCCAGCCTCTGTGATCATTTGCTGACCGTTCCATCATACACTCTGCCAGGACAGACAGTGGTAAATCGGAGGCTGTTCTCATGGCCGCAGCCTGCTTGCATCGTCCTCAGCAGCTTCCGTTCTCTGGGCCTGAAGTAGTCTTTCCTCAGGGATGGGTGCCGTGAGGACCCAGGCAGGCGGGTTTGAGTTCCGGCAGAGTCGCCAAAGGAAAGGAAAGAAGATTCCAGTAGGAGAAAGAAACAATGGCTCATTGTGGATTCTCCCTGGCAGTCTGAGGAGCAGAAGGCATTGGCACCTGATCCAGGCCCTGCCACTTCCCAAGCAGGTGCCACCACCTCAGGTGACTGTCCTGTAAGGTGGCTGATGATGAGCTCGCTCCTCTGCCCTTGTCCACAGAAATTATGTTCAATGTTTGCCGAAATGAGTGTGACTGGGTATTTATGTGAAATGCTTCACATCTGCATTAACTCCTTTGCTAATGGAGGAGTGTCAAGATTGTGCAGTTAGACCGTAGACCAGAGGGACCTCAGTTCAAGTCCTGCCTCTGCTCATACCACGTGTAAACTTAGGGCCCCGACTGGCATGAGGGTGATAATGATACGACCTCAGGCTGTGGTCAGTCGTCCAGTGCTTCTTTTACGAATATCTTTTTTTCATTAATTTTCAAAACTACTACCACCGAGTGATAATTACTGTATTGACCCAGGAATTGAGGCTCCCAAGGTCACATGCCAGGCAAGTGTTGATTTTAAGAGGATTCACACCTCAGGAGTATGACTTTTGTTCCCTTTAAGGAGACAGGCAGAGCGTCTGCACGAGGCAGGCACACTGTGGAGACCAGTGAGTCTCGGGGATTATTCTGTAATTATCATTGCTGCTGTTTTC